AGGTCCATGAATTTCATCACAGGACAAAATAAAAAGCCAGGATCAAACCATGTTCTTGCTTTCAGATATGAAAGGGTCCCGAGATAAAGGAACTCAGAAAATGAAATAAGGATGCTAAGGGACTTACTTATCTCTGATGATATCTCTGTCTCTATCTCCACTATTTCCACTTCCATCTTTACCTACCTCTGTCTTGTTGTACTTGACACTATGAAATCCTAAGTAATAACCTTGACTCTCAGTGGCTTCACAGGCACAACAATGCAGATTTTATCAGCTGAGTCTGGAAGTAGGTTGTTATTGCTTTGTTCTGTGATGGTTTGGTTTGGTTTGGTTTGGCTGGAACTTCGCAATTTGATTACACTTCACAAGGTTTCTAAGGTTCAGGCAAGCTCATCCAGATAGTGTCACTGGCCACATGAGATACAGGGTAGAAGGTAGAATAATGGGGTTGGAAGGTACCTTGAGATTGTTCTAGTCCAACTCCTGCTCAAGACAGCAGACTTTTTACCACACTCAACTACCAAGTGTAGTAGGCAAGAAAAACCAAATGCATAGGTAGAATACAGGTGGTACCTGGCTCAATAGTAATAACGGTGAGAGGGATCTTGGAGTCCTTAAAGCCTTGGTGGCGCAGCAGACTAAAGCACTGTTAAGTAACACCAGCTGCCTGCAATTACTGCAAATTCAATTCTCACCAGGCTCAAGGTTGACTCAGCCTTCCATCCTTTCGAGGTTTGAAATTTGAATAAAGTAGGTAAAATGAGGACCCGGTTTGTGGGGGCAATAAGCTGACTTTGTATTAAAAAAAAAAGAACACCGCTTAGGGGGGCTCCGAAAGCCCTACTAAGCAGGTATATACAAAAGTATGAAGGCTATTGCTTAATGCATTGTAAGCAGCCCTGAGTCTCCGGAAAAGGGCAGCATATAAATCGAACCAATAAATAAATAAATAAATCACTTAAATATGAGCCAGCAGTGTGCTGCAGCTGCCAAAAAAGCCAAGACAGTTCCAGGCTGCATTAACAGAGGGACTGAATCAACATCCCATGAAGTCTTAATACCATTTTATAATACCATGGTAAGACCACACTCGAAATACTGCATCCAGTTTTGGTAGCCACAATCTAGAAAGAGGGCAAAGAAGAGCAACAAAGATGATTAGGGGACTGGAGGCTAAAACATATGAAGAACAGTTGCAGGAATTGGGTATGTCTAATTTGATGAAGAGAAGGACTAGGGCTGACATGATAGCAGTCTTTCACTAACTCAGGGGTTGCCACAAAGAAGAGGGAGTCAAGCTATTCTCCAAAGCACCTGAGGATAGCACAAGAAGCAATGGATGGAAACTAATCAAGGTGAGAAACAATTGAGAACTAAGGAGAAATTTCCTGACAGTTAGAACAATTAATCAATGGAACAACTTGTCTCTAGAAGTTGTGAATGCTCCAACACTGGAAGTTTTTAAGAAGAGATTGGACAACCATTTGTCTGAAATGATATCGAGCAGGGGGTAGACTAGAAGACCTCCAAGGTCCCTTCCAACACTGTTATTCTGTTCTGTTCTGTTCTGTTCTGTTCTGTTCTGTTCTGTTCTGTTCTGTTCTGTTCTGTTCTGTTCTGTCCAGTTCAGTTCAGTTAAGTTCAGTTCAGTTCAGTTCAGTTCTGTTCTCGGCTGTCCAGCCTATTTTTGGAAACCTCTAGTGATGGACAGTAGTGGGTTTCACTTACCTTCGCTACCAGTTTGGAACTGTGAGTGTGCACATGTGCACTCGCTTAACTCGCATGCGGCGCTTCTGTGCATGCACAGAACGTCCATGATGATGTCTGGGTGGGTGGATGGAGCCTCCCGCTGCCACCATTACCAGTTCTCCTGATGAATCGGTAGAAACCCACCACAGGTGATGGAGCACCCACAATTCCAGGAGGTAAGCTATTCCATTGTTCTCACTGTCAGAAAATTCCTCCTTAGTTCCAGTTTGGATCTCTCTTTGACAAGTTTCCCTGCTTCTTGCCCTGCTCTTTGGTGCTTTAGAGAATAAATCAACATCCACTTCTCTGTGATAGCCCCTCAAAAACTGGAAGACTGCTATCATATTTATTTATTCATTCATTCATTCATTCATTTATTTATTTATTTATTTATTTATTTATTTATTTATTTATTTATTATATTTCTATACCGCCTTTCTCCCGTAGGACTCAAGGCGGTGTACAGTCAAGAAAAATATAGATACACAAACATCATAAAATTGCTAATTAAAATTATTACTATAACATAGTTTGGCCCAATTAAATAGAACCTAAAATTAGATAACATTTTAAAAACATTCACATGTTCATATGTTTAGCCCCGCCTGTTGGAACATCAGGATTTTGAGGGCACGGCAGAAAGCACAGAGATCAGGGATATTTCGTATCTCAGGGGGCAGTTCATTCCAAAGGGTTGGAGCCCTCACAGAGAAGGCCCTCCCCCTGGGAGTCGCCAGTCGACATAATATGACTGACGGTACCCTGTATAGTCCCTATATATCATCCCTATTCCTTACCTTTGTTGGACTAGTCATACCTAGTTCCCCCAAAAGTTCATCTTATGGTTCAGCCTCCAGACCTCTTATCATCTGTTTGTTTGTTTCTTTCTTTTGCAATTGTTGACTAAGATTATTTTTCAAGTTTTAGGAGTTGCTAAGGTAAAGAAAAGGGATGCTGTGGCTCAGTGGCTAAGACGTTGAGCTTGTCAATCGAAAGGTCGGCAGTTCACAGGTTCGAATCCCTAGCGCCATGTAATGGGGTGAGCTCCCGTTACTTGTCCCAGCTTCTGCCAACCAAGCAGTTCAAAAGCACGTAAAAAATGCAAGTAGAAAAATAGGGACCACCTTTGGTGGGAAGATAACAGCGTTCCATGTGCCTTTGGCGTTTAGTCATGCCGGCCACATGCCAACCACGGAGACGTCTTCGGACAGGGCTGGCTCTTCGGCTTTGAAACGGAGATGAGCACCGCCCCCTAGAGTCAGGAACAATTAGCACATATGTGTGAGGGGAACCTTTACTTTTACCTTTAAGGAAAAGAAGAGGTGAATCATAACTTCCTTCTTGCTGGCAGGAGAAAGAATGCTGTATGCACAAAAATGGAAAGATATTTTAATTCCCATAAAGGATGACTGGCTGGAAAAACTGATGAAATTAGCAGACATAGCTAAATTGACTGCCCTAATCAAAGAAAAGAATACAGCTTTTTTCCCCCCCTGGAAACTGCTTCTGGACTTCGTGCTTCATTTGGGGGAAAAAATGAAACTCTGACTTTGGGTTTTGCTGATTAGATAGGTTTGTTGTTATAGAAATGGCTATTACTGTATTTTTCGGAGTATAAGACACACTTTTTCCCCCGCTAAAAGAGGCTGAAAATTTGGGTGCGTCTTATACTCAGAATGTAGCTTTTTTGAAGCTTTTTTTCAGCCCTAACAAGTTGCGAGCGAGTGAAGCAATCTTCCGCGCTTCACCTGCTTTCCTCATTGCTGCTCTCTCCGACGATCAGCTGTTCTTTAAAAGCTTTTTTCAGCCCTAATGATGCGCTAGCGAGTGAAGCGATCTTCCACGTGTCGTCTGCTTTTCTCATTGCTGCTCTCTCCGATGATCAGCTGTGCTTTAGAAGCTGTTTTTTATCCCCACCTAGGGGATAAAGAGCATGTGCATGTGCTCAAAACCAGAGAACTAATGTGCTGAAGCTGAACAGACTAGGGCATTAGCCAGGTGAATACCTAGTAGGCAGATTTTTTTCCCCTATTTTCCTCCCCAAAAACTAAGATGCGTCTTATATTCTGGTGCATCTTATACTCCAAAAAATATGGTATATATTATTAAATAAAAGTAAAAAATTGAGTCTGTATGTTATTTTCTCGTTCTACTCAACTAAAAAAGAGACGTCAATTCTTTCTTTTTCCCCTTTTATCCTATACTTTTTCCTCTTGCCTTTTTCCTCCTCTATTTTCCCCACTATTTAAATTTTTCCTTGTATTTTATATTTTGATTTACTAATAAAATTTGGAATTCAAAATAACTTCTTCCCATAAGTCTCCTAAATCTAGAAATGAAGACAAAAGAAAAAAAAAAACCAACATAAGAAAATTCAATAGAAACGCCATACTTAGAAGTCTATTGGGAAATATTTTATTTTATACAGATTTATTACACATTTTATTTTCCTAACTTTCTTGAAAACCATCCAGAGAGACTCACCACTCAAGTGGGTCTTTTAGAAGCATATAGAGCAGGGGTGGAATTCAACAGGTTCTGACAGGTTCTGGAGAACTGGTAGCAGAAATTTTGAGTAGTTCGGAGAACCGGCAAATACCACCTCTGGCTGACCCCAGAGTGGGGTGGGAATGGAGATTTTGCAATATCTTTCTCCCAGGAGTGGGGAGGGAATGGGGATTTTGCAGTATCCTTCCCCTGCTACACCCACCAAGCCACACCCACCTAGCCACACCCCACCCACCAAGCCACGCCCACAGAACCGGTAGTAAAAACAATTGGATTTCACCACTGATATAGAGGTGTGTTTTTTTAAAAAAACAGAGAAAGCAATTCTCATCTTTTGACATATTTATCAGTTACCCATAGTTTACCAGATCTCCTGTGGACCTTGATTAAAATTTGATTAGGAACAGAGGGGAAATTTGCTTGATTCACTTTGTCATTTGAATTTAGCTATTGTTTTTTTCCCATTAGCAACAGCAATAATGAGAATTTAGCTAAAGACTGATACTGACATTCTTCCAAAATGTGTGTGTCCCTAAAACAGGGCTTGGTCCCAGGGGAGGCTCTTTTCACCCTCCTGGAGGCTCAAGAAAAGCCTCCAGAGCTTGGAGAAGATGAAAACGCCTCCCCCACCCCGCCATGGTGCAGGTGGCCAAGTAGGCCAAGCCCACCGTCGCCCCACCCACCTAGCAACTGGGCAGAGAACCGGTTCCTAAAATTTATGAATCCCACTCCTTCATCTATCCATCCCATCATTTTAACTGCTGTTTTAATTGTTTTAACTGGTTGTTTATCACATGCTTCCCAAAATCATATTCATCAGATTAGCAGCTAAATACTCTCTTTATACGACCCTGTAATCCCTTAATTGGAGATAGAGTTGGGGCAACTGGATGGAGCTGAGCATTTACTGGCCAGATGCTCTTCCTGACGCCATGTGGAGTTCACAGCAGATATTTTTTTCTTTGCGCCCTAGGAAAGAGAAACATCGGCAGTTATCTAGGATTGAACTCTCAACCTTCCGAGTGGGAGGCAAGTGTCTTTACCACTAGCCCACCGTGCCTCTCAGATGAGCAGTTAAATAAACCTGATACAAACATAAATAAAACAAAACTGTAGTCTAAAGAAGCTTGCATGGGCTTCTCACCAGGATATTTTATGCCTCCTTCTGAATAATTGAATGTCCAATTTGATTCAACAAAATATATCTCCGGATGGGTTTACCTCAGGTGATGTGAAGAAGAGAATGGTAACTGCATCCAGTGGCCCATTTAATAATAAGTGTTGCATTCATCTTTTTATTGATCTGCCTGTTGAATAAAAAGACCGAGAAGCAGTGTCCTGTATTTGTAAAATGTTATGAAATTATTATTTGATTGCCAAATACCGCTTGGTGAATGGTGTCAAATTTTCTCCTCACGTTTTTTTCTTCTTCTTCTTTCTTTTTTTTAATTTCTGCATTACCTTTCTGACAAGCTCTCAAGGCAATAATAATGGCTTATCAGCTTAAGGAAAATGATACGAAGGGGGATTGGGAAATAAACATTGGCAAAGAAATGGGGAAAAAAATCAAATTAAGGTACCAACTCTTATTAAATAATAATTAGATAGTTCAAGAACGGGATTTAATGGGACTTTTGGAGTCCATTCTTGGTTTGATGCCCAAGATTACCCATAATGCAGTTTATCCTGTGGGCTTCAATTGTAACCGTTTAAAAAGCGATGAAGTTAACAGATGAACAGCATGCTGTGTGCAACGGGCGAAGAACTTGTGGATGAATTTTATGGTAACTGAAACTGCAGAAATATTTAGACCTTGATCTATGTTTGCCTTTTAATGGCTATGTGTTCCATCTTTCCAAGGATCCCAGTTGATGACAGAAAACGGGGAAGTGGATCAGAGGCATTTATGCTTAAGTTCAAGGGATAAAATTAAATAATAATGGGAGAAGTGTACATATCATGAGATCATCTGGACTGAGGATTTCTTGATTTATTTTTATTTGTTTTTTTTTAAAGTTATCTTTGGCATTTTATTATTTTAATTTATTTAATTGTATGTGTTATTTATGCTATGCTATGCTATGCTATGCTATGCTATGCTATGCTATGCTATGCTATGCTATGCTATGATTTTTTCTTCTCTCCATACACTCCAACCTAAAGGAAATCAACCCTGACTGTTCTTTGGAAGGACAGATACTGAAGCTGAAGCTCAAATACTATGGCCACCTAATGCAGGGGTCCCCTATCCCCAGTCTTTGGACCGGCATCATCTGCGGTATGTCAGCAACCATGCAAAGCCCCATCTGTGGGATGCAAGCAGAACATGAAACCATACACTGTCCAGTCTGTGGAAAAATCTTTCTCTACAGAACCGGTCCCTGGTGTACAAAAGGTTGGAGGTCACTGACCTAATGAGAAGAGAGGACTCATTGGAGAAGACCCTAGTGTTGGGAAAGCTGGAAGGCAAAAGGAGAAGGGGAAAGCAGAGGGTTAGATAGTGAGGGTAAAGGTTTGTTCTATGAGCTTGTGGGTTGGTTTCCAAACATTTTGTTACCAAGCTAGGTAACATCACACACACACACCAGTAATTCACCTCCCAACAGCCCTGACCTGAGGTAATCTCTGTCCACCCCTCAAGCTGTACTTCGTTCAGGGCTGACATAGAGAAGAAGGAGGAGCATCTGGCAAGAGACCGTTTGACACTTCACCCAGTTAATTCCCTGGAGAGATTATTCCCTAGGAGATGAGATGGGAGGGGGGAAATTCCTGTGAGCTTAGTTAGTAGATAGGAGTAGAATGACTTGGAAGATGGCCAATCAGAACAGGAGAGCAAGCCAGGAAGGGAAGGGTTTTGGAGCAGGAACTCATTGCTGGCTACAATGAGTTTTGGAACAGAATGTCGTGCTAATAAATGAATGGGTTTTCATAAAGAACTTGGCTGAAATGCAATTTATTTTGAGACAACTTCAAATCTTGACAATCTCCTTATCAAAGACCCATCACCAGACTCATAGCTGACTCATCACAAGACTCTCACTTGACACACCCACACCTGTAGCCCTTATAAACAGAAGATTGACACTGACATCCCCTAAACTCCACTGAAGATGTTACTTTGCCTGGTAACGAAATGTTCGGAAACCAACCCACAAGCTTGGAGACTAAACCTTCACCCTCATCCTACATCTGAGCTACAGATATTTGCCACTATTGCAATGGTTAGATAGTGTCATCATTGCATCAATGAACATGAATTTGGGCAGAATCCCAGAGATAGTGGAGGACAGGAGGCCTGGCATGATGTGGTCCATGGGGAGTCAAGGGAAGTTGAATGCAATTTAGTGACTGAACAACAACCACACATTCTCTCTTTTGGACATGCCCACATGTTCTGCTTACATCCTTGGCATATCACACTTGATTGAATGTGTTCCTGGGTGCAAATAGGATTGGCCAAGAGAGGGAAAGAAAATAAATGTGGGGAGAAAGGAACAAAATAGCAGCTAATCTCAACTAAACTAACAGAAAGAGCCCCACTGACTCACCTCTTCCTCAGAAGCACAGAAGGGGGAAAACAGACCTCATATGTAGATATTCTAGTTTACATGGAGAAGGATCGTTAGTAGAATGACAGTCTGATGAACCTCCAAGTGGACAAGCCCTCAGTTTATCCCATTTTCATCTGATGAAGGGTAGTTTGACCAAATAGGAGTAGATTAAAATGGACCAATTCAAGCAGTTCGGACACTGTTTCTGGAGTAGAATGTTCCAGAGAACTCTAGAATATTCCATTCTTCCTCCAGATGATGCCCAACTGAATGTTCTAGGGTTTGTTTGTTTTTCAGAAGTCAATCCTCTGAAACAAAAGTAGTTTGTGGTGTTTTAGATGAAGAGTGGGTTTTACACGTACTTGCAAATACCTCACACCCTTTACTTCTTGCTGGGTCTTCCATCATTCTACATTTGTTTCTCCTGTTGCCGTCTGTCCAGTAATCACTAATCAGGAGCTTGTGGGGGGCACCTGACATACTGAAATAACTCTTGAAATTTCATTTTCACTGATGATTTTTCTTGCCTTGGATGGAAAATATTGATCCATCCAATCAATTCAAATCCTGAATTACACATTAGAGCTCCCGTCCACCTCCATTTGTGAAACCCTTGGGGCAATTGCCTCCCCTCTTAAAAAAAAAAAAGATACTGTACATCATGTCAGAATGGAATTATTTCCTGACCTTGCAGAAGAAGTGTTATGTGAAAAAGGATCATTAACCAATTTTGTTGTATATATGATGTACAATGACCATAAAGGCTATACTACACATTAAATTCTAAGCTATGAAGAAGTCTGAGTTGGAGGGAAAGAGAGATAGAATTTTAAATTCAAAGGTGGGGCACAAATCCAAGAAGGCAAGAAAAAGAGAATTAGACCATTTTTCTTAAGGTGGGCTTGAGATTTGCTCCTCCAACTGTTGGAAGCTGGAGGAGGAAAGATGGCAACATTATTAAAAGAGACAGGCCTGGTTTGCCAGAAGATTTTTATGAGTTTAGGGGTTTTTTTTAGTTCTTAGTTGCAAAGTTGTGTCCGATCCATTGCGACCCATGGATAATGTTCCTCCAGGCCTTCCTGTCCTCCACCATCCTCTGGAGTCCATTTAAGCTCACGCCGACTGCTTCAGTGACTCCATCCAGCCACCTCGTTCTCTGTCTTCTTTTGCCCTCAATCTTTCCCAGCATTAGGCTCTTCTCTGAGTCCTTCCTTCTCATTAAGTGGACAAAGTATTTGAGTTTCATCTTCAGGATCTGGCCTCCTAAAGAGCAGTCAGGGTTGATCTCCTCTAGGACTGACTGGTTTGATCGTCTTGCAGTCCAAGGGACTCACAGGAGTCTTCTCCAGGGCCATAGTTCAAAGGCCTCCATTCTTTGGCGCTCAGCCTTTCTTATGGTCCAACTTTCACAGCCATACATTGCAACTGGGAAAACCATAGCCTTGACTATGTGCACTTCTGTTGGCAGGGTGATGTCTCTGCTTTTTAGTAAGCTGTCTAGATTTGCCATAGCTTTCCTCCCAGGAGCAAGCATCTTTCAATTTCTTGGCTGCAGTCTTAGGGTTTTTTAAGAGTGAGGAAATAAGAAGAGGAACTCTATGAGGCTGGTCCAGGGGTCTGCAACCTTAAACACTCAAAGAGCCATTTGGACCTGTTTCTCACAGAAAAGAAAACACCGGGAGCCACAAAACCCTTCCCGTGCCTGACTATTTCTTGAGCAGCCACAAAACTAGCATATGTAGTTGAATTAAATGTTCCGTTTTCTTCTGAAACTTTTCTTTTCTTGGATTTATCCGTGGTTGGCCTACTGGGGGTTGAAAAGCTCAATAAATCGCGTGCCAGCAGGTGTTGCTCATTGAAGGTTGTGACGCATATTTTGAGTGACAGGGAGCCACAGAAGAGGGGTAAAAGAGCCACATGCGGCTCCAGACCTGCAGGTTGCTGACCCCTGGGCTAGCCGCATGCATTTTGAGTTTTCAAACTCCCACCAAGGCCAAACTATTTGGCTATTTTCTCTGAGTGAATTAAAGGAACTGGGGGACGATGGAAACAGGAGGATTTGTCTTGATTTATTTAATTAATTCCTACAGCTGCCCATCTCAAGCAAGCGGTTCTAGGTGGCGAAAAGTCCTAAAACAGTGATGGCTAACCTTTTTGCCACCGTGTGCCAAAAGTGGGGGTCTCATGGGGGGGTCGCATATGCATGTGCCCAAACCCATGATGCTATGCCCCTGCATGCCCCACCCCCTACACATGCGCACACAACCCCCCATGTTCCCCCTGACCCCCACACATGCAAGTGTGACCCCCCTGCTCCCCCTACCCCCCCCCGCGCATGCGCGCATGACCCCCCATAGCCTGTTTTGGGCCTGGCAAGCTTCCCTAAAGCCTCCTGGGACCAAAAATGGGCTGTGGGGGGGCATGCCATACCCCCCCATCCAGGTTTGGGCCTGACTGGCCTCCCTGAATCCTCCTGGGACCTAAAATGTACGTGCGTGATCCCACCCACCCCTGTGCATGCACGCGCAACCCTCTGCACATGCGCGCGCATCTCCCGCATGCACTCCACTCCTGTACCAGAGACCCAAAAGTCAGATGGCCAGCGGGAGGTGCACACACATCTATGATGGAGGTGAGCTGGGTGACAGCTCGTGTGCCAGCAGAGAGGCCTTCGCGTGCCACCTGTGGTACCCGTGCCATAGGTTCGCCATCACGATCCTAAAACATTGGCCTTGCGGAGCCTTGAATACAACTTGAATTGCTTTTCCTTTTCAATCAAAACCAAACCAAACCAAACCAAATTGTTTCAGGAAAGCAAGAACTGGGTGGGCTGGCTCACGAGAGCAGTCTTCATAAGAAGCCATGCTTAAGCTCTTCAAAAGCAATTTTCAAATTTTTTTGGACCTTCATTTTGGCCAAGTTTATTCCATCTGTTTATATAACCAAATTATTCCAGTGTGAGCTCAGACAGAATGATACATGTAATTGATTCAGGGGCATATTAATTATGAATGAATTGCCTTAAAAATTAATTTTGATTTAGGAATGCATGCGTGTGGTTGTTTGGAAGTGTGTTGGTCTCTATATGTATATGTATATGTATACATATATATGTTTATATATATACACTGATAGAAAGAAAGAAAGAAAGAAAGAAAGAAAGAAAGAAAGAAAGAAGAAAGAAAGAAAGAAAGAAAGAAAGAAAGAAAGAAAGAAAGAAAGAAAGAAAGAAAGAAAGAAAGAAAGAAAAAGGTGCTCATCAGAGGAAGAAAGGAATGAGTATGTGTGGATTCATCCTCTCTCCTTCTGCAGAATGGATTAAAAAATGAACCAATAAGCTATCCATTAACGATCCACATCAATTTATGCTTTCCTTAATGAGTCCTACATCCATCGCATGTGAGGGGAACCTTTACCATTACCTTATAATCACTTACATATTTGGGGTGGGAGAGGGGTTCCAAGTCAGTGCTGACTCCTGGCAATATTTTCTTGACAATATTTTTAGAAGGGGTTGTCCTTGGCTCTCCTACACCAGACTAGCACTCCATTGGATTGGATTGGAATGGAATGGAATGGAAGAGGGAGAGGGATAGGGAGCGGGAGAGAAGAGAAGAGAAGAGAAGAGAAGAGAAGGGAAGGGAAGGGAAGAGAAGAGAAGAGAAGAGAAGAGAAGAGAAGAGAAGAGAAGAGAAGAGAAGAGAAGAGAAGAGAAGAGAAGAGAGAGAAGAAGAGAAGAGAAGAATCTGAGGCAGTTTGGTGCAGTGATTAAGGCAATAAGTCATGCCGGCCACATGACCACAGAGACTTCTTCGGACAGCACTGGCTCTTCGGCTTTGAAATGGAGATGAGCCCCGCCCCCTAGAGTCGGGAACGACTAGCACATATGTGCAAGGGGAACTTTACCTTTACTTAATGAGTCCTACAAAGCAATAGCAATAGCACTTAGACTTCTATACTGCTTCACAGTACTTTTACAGCCCTCTCTAAGTGGTTTACAGAGTCAGCATATTGCCCCCAACAATCTGTGTCCACATTTTACCCACCTTGGAAGGATGGAAGGCTGAGTCAACCTTGAGCAGGTGAGATTTGAACTGCCGAACTGCAGCTAGCAGTCAGCTGAAGTAGCCTATAGTGCTGCACTCTAACCACTGCACCACCTCGGCTCTTCGACATACATCACATCTACTTGAGCTTTCTTCAATGAACAAGAAGGCATGATTTCTTCAAAACTCCATATGAGGTTGGCTATTCAATCTGCATATTTGAAAGCTTATCAGTAGCTAAAATATATATGTATATGGGTGAGCGACAGGAATCATTTCCTCTTCATAATTTGCTTTATGTTAGAACAGGTTAATTTTCTAGCTGTCCTGCACTGACAGATAGTATGATGGCTCTACAGAGTTTCAGGCAATTATCTTTTCTGATCTTGCTTGGAGATGCCAAAAATTGAACCTGGAAACTTCTGCATGGAAATTAGTTTCAACACCTTTGACTCTTCATTGGGGAGATGGCATGACGTGCAATGCAGAATAGGGGGAGGAAGACCTTTAAAGAATGATAGAGACTGAAAGGATGATTCCAGCCATTAAGCCCAACCTTCTGCTCAATGCAGGAATCCAAATTAAAGCTTCTCTACAAATGGTTGTCCAGGTGTCATGTGAATCAAGGAGAGAACCAACCTAGAACTAAGGAGAAATTTCCTGACACTTGGAACAATTAATCAGTGGAATAACTTGCCTCCAGATGTTGTGGGAGCTCCAACACTGGAGATTTTTAAGAAGAGATTGGATAATCCTTTGCCTGAAATGGTATAAGGTTTCCTGCTAGAGCAGGGGGTTGGACTAGAAGACCTCCAAGGTCCCTTCCAACTCTATCATTCGGTTATTCTGAAATCATTGGCTGAATTGGTAAACTTACATTTTGATGGATGATCAGTTCCACTTTCAAACTGCCCTTCCAATTAGGATTCTTTTTCCTTCCAAACATTCAATTAGAAGCTGCCTTCCTGCAATTTAAACCCATTCTTCCTTGTCCTGAACTGCGAGGATGAAGAATTGAGCATTTTTCTACATACAATCTTTCTGGAAATATGAAATGTCAGTCTGCTTTGGTCTTCTTTTGCGGGGGCTTCACAATATGTGAAGAGTGCTGCCATATCACCTGCTTCCTTCTTCTTTCTTCCAAAATATCCAAGAACATTCTGGAAGAAGTTC